TTCAATTTAATTCGACGTTTTGAAGTGGATCAAAATCACGATCGAAGATTCCGTTACATACATACATACTAAGCTAATAAAAGCGTGTTAAAAATATTTCATTTTTTTAATTCAGTCTGCTGTAACAGGGTATTTAGTTGTAATAAAATTTAATTAGCTTTCTTAAATTTAAGTTAATTTAAAACATTTCATTTTTCCGTCTTTAAGTAGGTGAAATGTTACAGTTCAATACAAAACAGAGACATAGACAGATATAGAGCTTATGAAAGTCGAAGTGACTGGCAAACTGTTTTCTCAAATATAAAAACTAGTAAATAAATGTACAATGCTATGACAACTTGACAGTCTTCCTCTGCCGAAGCTTAAGCTGTAAGTAATTCATAGTCCGATGTAAGTATTTGGAACTATCTCGTAGGTTGGCCACGCATATATTATATGTAAGAAAACCGAGTTGCGGGGGCTTGTTTCTTCCACATTAATGAACTAATGTAGCTAAGTGACCGTAGCGTCTCGTTAATAATTGAATCACGCAAGGGTTCATTTCAGACGGGATACTTAATGAGACAGGTACGCAAGAAACTTTTCGAGATGCTAACGTTATATTCTACATCGTATACTGAGCTTGTTTCAGCAACAGACGATCAGGTGTGTTTTTGTATTTGTGCTTTCTTAAGTCAGAATTTGGTTATAAGAACTCAGAATTCATATCTCATCCATCAACAATTTCAAACTGAAAACTGTAAAAAAGGATAGATGGATTTTTATGTAGATATAACTGCGCCGATTTATTTGTGGGATCTGAAGGGATGGAACTATCAGAACCTACCTACTTACTTTTCAGATTTGAGTACTACCAGTCGGTACCTACTCCTTTGGCATGTTTGGATTGGCTAAAATGGAACTCGATACTCTGAATACTAGAGTTCGTGCTATTGTTCGTCAGAGTTGTGTCTAAGAATAGTCCGGAGTCTGTCTTTAAGAAGAGTTATTTTAGCTATCGCGAAGCTATCTGTATCTGGTCGTGATGGTTGTCGTTAAAGAACTCATTCAGAAAAAACTGGTGCTAATTTGCAATGTTCAATATTATAGATAGCAGAGTGATATGGAAGAGCAAAAAGCTGCATCCATGGACGGTTTTTTGGGCCTAAAATGGGCTTAAACGTACATTAATCGTCATATATATGCTATTCGAAGAAACCGGAGATATTATCTGCATATTTACTTACAGACAAAGTTGAAAAATAACAGTAATAATAATAAATTAATTACTTTTACAGCTCTAATGACTACGATTCGTCGACATTATTTAGAAACAAACGTTTTAGAAAAATATAACTACAAAAACACAACATATTTTTCTTGTCCTAGACTTCACTCGCGTCAGCGTTTTTCTATTTATTGGAAAGAAAACTATTGATGATAATGTAAACAATGTTCTGCATTGTATCCCTGTCAAGGTATAAAAATTGCCTGAGAATCAGTTAAGTATTTAAGACGTAAGTGAAAGCGTAATCAAGTTACTTACTTTCGCATTTTTAAAACTAGATTGGATTCTATCTAGCTTTTTAACAAAAACCATCAGATGTAAATATTAAATCTTGCTTAAACTTGTTGCTTAAGTAGTTGAAACGACTCACAGCTTTTGACGAGAGCCTCGTACTTGAATAATCAGGAGCTTTTTCTAAGTTTCCTTATTGACTGTTTTGAAAGTAGCTGTACTACAACGAAGGCCATCAATGAAATGTTCAGCTGCATATTCGACTGCAAATTGAGATTTTTATCCGGTATCCGGTAAAACAGCAGTCAGTTTCATCTCTAAATGACCTTACTATTTGTATAACCTTGCCCAAAGATCCCTATGTACGACTAGTCATGTATTGTATAACACTTATTTAAAATTTAATGACTAGCACTAAACAGTAAATAAATGTAATTGTACTGCGCATAGTACAATTAATACCAATGATAGTTTATTAATTAATCACCAATGATGTAGGCAAATAGATCTTGGTATTCCTTAATTAGTTATAATTGAATTATAAGCTAACTGGAATTATCACGTCAAACTCAGTTAACACTAAACATACATAGGTTAAGCGTCTATCGCTCTGAAGTTATTAAGAATATAATTATGTTATGTATATTTGATAGATTAAAACTATACTTTATACTTTGGCAACAGAAAACATCAATTTTATGATCCTTTGTTGCTTCATAGTATACATCTGTCAGGCTACACGAGCTGGGCTTGAATTATTACACATTATCATTCCAGACGACTGTCGCAGATCTGTTGTCTCTTGCCGACTCATTATTTTATTTTCTCTTGTCTGACAGTGAGACAAGTCTCGTGATAATAAAAATAATTAAAACAGATTGAGATTATTTCAAATCCAAAATCCACATGTATAGCAAAATTCAGACCTGTACTGACATAACTTTTAATAGCAGTATTATATGAAGGAGGAAGAACCTTTAGCGATTTTTTTTTAATGGAAAACCACTAATGCCGCCTATGAACGCTTCAACTCAGGAGTTACAAACGCGTTTCCGGCCTTTGATGAAGGCGTACGCTCTTTTCGTTAAGGTTTGGATGTCGCCACATCATTCAATTCCAAATCAAAATTTAAATCACACGAAAGACTTATGTAACACTGCAGTAAGATTACCCTTGTTAAGAAACCCCATGGTTATGAACATTTACTCCTTCAACCAATAAGTTTAATAATTTATTCAGTTTCTCTGATTGGGACATAATTGATAAGTTATTAAACTATGGCCCGATTAACTTAGTGACCTTGTAAATACTCCCCTTATAAAATTACGGTAATTCTATTCCTAGAGGAAAACCACACTGTCATGCATCGTAATATTAGTAAATAACACATATAATATGAATAAGAATACAAAGTATCACCTCCTCTATTCATCCCGTGGGTGTCGTAAGAGCTGGCCGAAGGAGAAAACTATGCAGGATAACAGCACTGCCAAGAGAAGCAAAACTTAACACAAACTCTATACCAACCCGTCTGACCAGCGTGGTATACTCGTATTAGGCCAAAACCTTGTTTCTAAGGCTCTCCTTAGAAACAATGTCTATGTTCAGCAGTAGACTATCAAAGGCTGTTAATGATAATATAAAATAGCTCTTTGTTGTACACATCATGATAATAATAATAACTTGATACATCTTACACATGTCTATATGATCCTCTATTAGGCAGACCCCGTACTATGGTAGCCAGACTGCTGATATGCATACTTATATATTTCTAAATACATATATATGATAGATAACTTACATCCAGACACAGAACAAAGGACCGTGGTCATCACACAATTATTTGTGCTGGATGGTCTCATCGGACCCGCCACCTCTGACTTAGCAGCCACTAGCAACTACACCAATAGCCCAGGTCGAGATAGAGAATCAAGTTTAAATATATTTTTATTACAGATAAGATAATAAACTACATCACATCAACAGCCTTTAATAGTCCACTGTTGGACATAAGCCTGTCCTTAGAAAGGAGGTGTTGGCCTACTATACCACGCTGGCTAGACGCGTTGGTATAGGGTTTGTGTCAAGTTTTCCTTCTCTCTGTAGTGCTGATGTTCTGCGTAGTTTTTCCCTTAGTCAGCTATTACGACACCCACGGGATGAATAGGGGTGGTGACACTCCGTATACTTAATCCGTCACCACACGGAATATAAAACTACATATTACTCGTATTATTTAAATTATGTAGGTACATGCAACAATTTGGCAAATTGTTTTAAACCACCTTTTACGCTCTATGTATTTATTTACATGGTAAGTAGGAAAAAAATAAATAAAGAAGTGTAATAGTAAGATTCTATTTATTGCTCATATTATATTTAGAAAAATAAAACGAAAATATAAAAAAGAACTATGAATAACGTTTGTTAATGTTAAAAAAAATTATACGATACAAAGTAAATTAAAAAACTGAGAGCATTAAGTTAAAACTTATTCTTGTAGCTATAAAAGAATGAAAGCTTTTCGCTAAAATCGAATTTCTTTTGTGGACTATTTAGGGACAATGGTGCACCGATTGCAGTCCAGTTTTGTTATTTTATTTTCAACGATTACGCCATTGTAACGAAATGATTGTATCAATAGAATACGGACACGATGAAAACGTTGATATAAAGTCCATACTGTAAATTCAATTTCACACACAATGCAATAAATAACTAACAATAAAAAAAATTGCCAATCTCTTAATTCAACTGGAAAAAACTTTCAAAATTCCTCTTATTAAAATAATATACAAAAAATAACGTCAAATATTATACAAACCAATTATTAAAGAGTATAGTGTATTAAATTCATTTATTTATTTTTGATAAACAATGAAGTTTAGTTTGAAATTGGTAAAGATCAACATACACGGAAAAAGGTCCAATGGTTTTTAGTAAAATTATGATACTTTGCGAAACTAAACACGAAATTGCGTATTTTGCTTTCAACATCGCAAAGTTTAATATAAATTAATAAGTAAATATCGGCACCAACAAAAAAGAAACTGTACAATACATTAAATATGGTTTTCCCTTAACCAGACTGTATGACATTCATTTTCTACCTTTCAGAGTAAGGAACCCCGACATGGGCAACATTGTGATCAAGATACTCGTTGATTCATGGATAGATAAAACTTTTAAAAATTTAAAAACTTATGAAGTGCAGCAGAACTTGAGATATCGTACACACTGCAAAAGGAAATTAAAGTAAATTTTATACTAACTTAAACTAAATGTTTACAGAGTAAATTCTAGATTTTAATAGAATGAAAAATGTTTAATAAAAGTTTTTCCATATTGATAAAAAAGACACGAAACAAAAAACTCTATTTTTTTATCTGTCTCTAAACTGCAATCCTCAACGAATGATACGTGTGCTAGACTTTTTGGTCGTATGCGAATGGCAACTGCACACCGCTATGCAAAGAAGCAATTTCCTTTGTGTCACTTGCTACCCATGCCGCGAACTGCACGTGCCGTCACGTACATCCACTGTCAATACATACGTTGAATAATATTCATATTTGTTACAAAAGTTATACAACTTTTAATCCCTACTGAAACAGACTGTAACTAGATGTTATCATGTCATTAACGAATACGGCAGACGAATTAGTAGCCACCAATATAATTAGCACAAAAGTAATAAAAAGGCTCACCGACAATTGTTTACACTTAACAGTTACAATCGAAAATATTACTAAATAATTTACGGTTATTGTAACAATTCATAATTAACTTCAAAAATTTTACTGATCACTTAGTACAAAAAATATATAGTTCATTTTTAACGCGTTCCGGGGTAGACCCTGACCCGAGCGGATTTAGAGGGGAACGCGCGAATACCTGTGCAGTTGTGGTAATAGAACCGCCCACGATATTGTCAATTGTCAAACAAGAGCTACTTTCCGTCACTTAGGGGCATTACGTCCTCATTTTTCTCATTGGCGTGCGTAATCAATAATGGCAATTTGATTGCATACGGACTACAAAACAATTTAATTTTACGTTGGATTACAGAACATAGTAGCTTAAAGAAAACATATTAAACATATTTAGACTTCTCCTTGTAAAGGTTTAAGGAAGATAGATCTACCGGAGGCAGAACTAGTGGGGGTGGGGGGGCTACATATTTTTTGACTTTCCGATTGACCTTAAAATAGAACCAATGGATGATTATAATATCGGTTCATCGCCTGGACCGATGTAAAGTGAAAATTCAACCTTGTATGGGATTTAACACGATCAGCACTTCTATGTGCCATCGTTTTAAAATCCGTACAAGGATGATCGCCTTCAAGAGAGGAAATATTCTACTCAATCTTATCTTTACTTGTGAGTTCAACACGTAAGCACTTGTTAAGACCGTTTGTGGTCCTTTTGTGTACTTTATATGAAGTTAAAGATTTCCAAGGCTCAAAATGGATATTACCTACAACGGTATATTGAAAATTTCTACAGTTATGTAAACTTTATGGCATTACTTTTTTCTTTAAAAGCTCGGTTTGAATTCAAACCTAATTGCATTCTACTTCTTAGGATGGTTCCAAATCATATCAATTACATGCAAACATTTTTACATGCAAACTACAAATAGTAAAAACAACCTAAAAATTAAATTATTTTAATCAAAGTTGTTATTGTTTCTGGAAGAATAATAATGCTAAGATCAAACTACATGTAGGATAATATTCTTATTTCTTAGAATAAACGTCTATAGACCGCTGTTAGTTTTCTTTAGTCAATTTCTAATTGCCTGAAACTATTTTCTAGTCCTGGAAAAAAAGTACTCATAGATTTAGAACCTCCTGGTCGCTTAGATTCTTCTACTCTTTGCTTTGACTCATCTTCAAAAAATGTTGAATTAGCTGCTAATCTACTACAGATAGTATCTGAAAAAACAAAATCAAATCAAAATTAAATTGATGATACTCGTATTATTGATAGTATTATGTACAAAGACTTACAACCGATCTGAAAATTGTTTGTATAGTCAGGAAGTACTTAAGCAAGCACGTAGGAAACTAAAATATATGTTATCTCAACTTGACACTCAACGCTGCTAATACATTCTTGTGTGGTAAATCACGCAAATTTGCGATAAAATAAACGTGTAGTCGACATGTTTGAAAGATGTCCTCGAAGGATGGATGGCTCAAGGATGATTTTTATATGTCTACAGATTTATGTAACAACCGCATCGATCGGTATGTTCTTATTTGCAATCGTCTGTTGGCAACGGCTTCTACATATGAATACATACAAGTGTTTCTTTAATTAAGTTGGATTTTGATATCGCTTATCGTATCGTAAGTGTGAAAAGTTACAGAGGTGTAAGTCACAGCGCAGGGAAGTATTTGTGGACAAAAAGTGACGTTGAACGTTTGCTAAATAGTATAATGTATGGTAGATTTATGTGTGTATATAATAACAACACGTATATAGTATCCCAATGCAGTTTCAGGGATTATTTGATGCAATAACCGAAATCAGTAGAGGTATATGAAGATAATCTAATAACAGCACTTTTATCATGCCAAGAGCAACATACCTTTTAAAGCTTCTTTGTTCTCTTTATTAGCTTTGAGCAAATCGTTTGTCGATATATATTCATCTAAAGTATTGACATCTGTTTGATGAACCTTCAATATGTCAAGCAATTCATCTTTCATAAACGGTCGGACCATGGCAAGCAATTTATCAATGAATGTCGGAGCATTTATAAAATGGAATTCTTTGAGGCAGACAAACATTGCTTCCTGGGAACAAATAAAATTGAACTATTAATATGAAATCTTTACTTTTGTCTTAGAACCAACGTTAAGTTTTCTGTGATGTGTTTATTGATGTTTATTTATCATCTAAGAACAAGAAAACGTAATTGACGATGTTCCTAAATATTTTTTTGATTTAAGTAAGTGGTTTAACATGTGCACCACAAAAAAATCCTGTACAATCAATATTTGAAGACTTTAATAGTAGTTTTTTAAAGTGCTTTATTTTTACCAGTAATAAATTGTATTTTAAATAATCGTAAGGTTTAAGGTTATATACCCTTATTACTTTATTACCCTTGGTAATATGGTTTATACTATACCTATTAGAATGATAAATGGTCTAATTTTATCGTTAGAATTATTGAATGTTACTAAAAATAAAGATGACTCCTACCGCATACCCATTTTTATGAAACACAAATATATATTTGATAATGTGGAGGAACGGGTGTCATGTCATTCATTCACAAAGGTAGTATCCTCCGACCAGGCAAGTTGATCATGCGTTGGCAGGCCGCGGCCCAACAGTTGATGTTGTTAAATTGTATATGTGCTAATCGGCGTGCGAATTACTTATATCGCGATATAGGATAGCAGTTACTCCGTAGTTCGGTGTGTCTTCGTTAGATGGCGCAGCAGTATGTTTCTTCGTTTTGCCGTATGTGAAAGTCGCCACAATAACATTAAGTTAGTAAAAAAGAACACTTCAATAACGATGATATAATAAAAATCACTTACTTACAATAAAACAGACTTTATTAGAACCTTTTATGGTATAGGGGGGCAAACGCGCAGACGGGTCTAATGGTAAATGATTACCGCCGCCCATAGACACCTGCAACTCAAGAGTCACAAGTGCGTTGCCGCCCTTTAGTCCTACTCACACTCAAACTCCCTCTAGAGCCAGAGGGGCGGAGTTTGAGCTCCGGTAACTTCACTCACTCGGTGAAATGCAACGAAGAAACTGCTTAACACTGGTTTTCTATGAGGCCGTGGTATCATTCCGGTCGAGCCAGCTCATTTTTGCTGACGCATGGCTCTCCCACGGCTGAATATGAATGAATAAATGTCATTCGCATTCTATGTTTGCAAGTGTAGAACCATATAATCGTTATTTATTGGTCATTGCAAGTCAAGATTCATTAATATATTAATTAATAAAAATATATTACAGACCTGCAAAAAGTAGAAGAATTGCTGCGCTATAGTCAAGTCAACTTTAGATATGTGACCAAGCGATACTCTATCTAAATTTACTATCAATGCAACGCCTGGTACCGTACCTTCTTCATACTGCCATAGATCCATAACCATGAAGAATGCTCTGTAATGACAATGCGATCAATTCCCACCTACTTCTAAAACTGAGCTTCAAAGATAGCTAGCCAGAAAATGTTTTGATGTTGTTTTGGCGGCGAGGCTGATAGTTTTTTTGGTCCTTTAATTTAAATATTTAATTATAAAAAAGGTTTTTGAAATTTAACAAGATAGATTTTATTTTATTTTAAATTAAACTAAATAGTCAGTTAGTCCATTATAAAATGTGACATGTAATGGTACGAAAATAAATGGGAAATAGTAGTTCAACTTACACTTGTCTCGATATAAAAACAAAATATTAAAGATAATGAAATATAGTAAAAGTTTCGCCACTACCCAATCTATAGATCCTCTAGTAAAAAATAACTTGACACTTACTTGATGACATCACCGTAAACAAATTTTTGAGGGTCTGCATCCAATAGTTCACAATAAATTGGTTTGTAACCTTTCTTGGTGACATTCGATAGAGGCACAATTAACCTGGCAATACAACAAAGCTCAATTACAATTTAATACTAAAACACCATCAGACATGTCAACAATCGTTAAATCATTTGCAATTGAACTGTTATGAGTCTGATAGTTCTATTGTTTATCCCTGCCGTTATTTTTACGGCTTGGATGCATGCAGCCATTGATTTCATGTGCATTATTTCTTTTTTATTACAAATAGTTTCATGAAGCTGTTGTTATGACCAGAGATAGCATTAATTGTTTTACCTAATGCAATATACAGACTAAATGCAATACCCAGCATAAAAAGGTACTGGTTCCTTGATAGAATGTACCAAAGTACAATCTCTCAAAGGTATTAACTTGGCTGGACACGCTGCGTAAATGAACAATCACGTAACAGATATTTGCATACCTCAAAGTTGCCTGATATTTAGACCAGTTCGCTTTTCGTGTATGAACAAAAGTTTATGACAATGGACTAAAATAAAAACATACTTAATATTGATTTCAATTTCCTGTCCTTACAATCTTATAGCGCCTGTGTTTTTTTACAAGAAATGGCTCAAACAACCTCTACGTAGTGAAAGTTAATCTATCAAAACAGCTGACTAAATACTGCATCGAAATATGAACGTACACATTCAGATTACTACAACATCTGTAATGGGAAGATTTTGGTGTACATTAGTGTATTGCCATCAGTGGCAACTGGTATGTTTATGAAAGGGTTTTCATCAATTGCGATTAAGTTTAAACGACTGCACGGATGTCGTAGTGGTTTAAGTGTTCACCTCGATGCTTCCTACAGCGCTGAGTGTTGTGGGTTCGATCCCCACGTGTGACAACACTTTGTGTAATCCACAAATTGTTGTACTGAATCTGGGTGTTCTTTATGTCCGTTTCATGTATGTTTGTAAAGTCTCCAGCGACACAGGATAAATTCCTTTTACAGGAGTTGTCTTTAAAAAAATAAACTTTGACTATATTTTTAGAAATTATAATTATATACTCCGTCCATTTATTTTTTTTCAATTTGGCAGTTGCATGAGAATATAACTGTACCAGATTTCTTAAGATTTACTAATAAGCATTCATCTTAGTAACTAAGTTTTTAGTCTCGGATAAAAACTATTTAAAGAAGTATTATTGTGTTGGTTCATATAATTTATATGAATAAAGGATTTATGTTTGAGCTTTGGTAGAGTTTCTAAAACCACTAATTTCTTTATGAGAAAAAGTAGTGTTGACTCTGTCTAAAAAAAAACACTAGGAAAATGAAGATCTATATTAATGATTTTAATAAATCTTTGATTATGGATTGATTGTAATGGAGAACTTTATTTATATTCCGAACGTTATAAATCAAGACAAACAAGACAAGGCTATGTATCAATACCTATACAAATTAGATACAGAAACCAGAATTTTATTTACTGCTTTCAAAGGTCACCTTTATAATAACACTGAATAAAACAAACCAGGTTTGGAAAGCGTTTTCCAGACACTTGTCCATTTTTCTGTTCTGGTAAAACGGGAACAATGTTCTTAGCGTGTAATTGACATCAATGACCCGTTTTGTTACTTCTGTGTCGCATGCACAACTGTGATACGCGAGTATGACGTCCAATTCTGGAAATTATATAATCCATTTACTGTACAGCATAGTCCTTACGAGCATAACAATTTCATGCCACAGTAATTCTGCGAATGAATAATATAATAGTAACAAAAGACTCGTACATTTATTTTCTTTACAAATTTGAGACTTTTCTCTTTTGAACCACTTTAATGATTATTTTGTGATTCTCACAACGAATCTATGAAACAACTAGTCGCTTGCTGCAGTTATAAACCATAAATTCTTCAGGAAAAAGCATAGGCTCACCTCAAAGGCGGGTAATGCAGTTGTGACTGTTGAGTTGCTAGCGTCTTTGGGTGGCAACAGTCATTCATTGTAGCATATCACAAAAACACGAACCAGATTTAAATCGAATAAACTTCAATTTTTCGCAGATTAAGGATTCAATAACTGGTAGTATAGCTTTTGGATTTGGGTTAAAAGAGCTTCTTGAGGATCGAAAATGTTTTGTAGACTAACAGCGACGCCACTGTTGTAGTGATACTAATGATAGATATGGATATATAGCTAGTATATAGTTTAGGTGATAGTATTCATTTCCAATAGTAGTACCTTCGTGCAAATGGATACCGATAAAATAAAAATATCTCCTACAAAATAATCATCACTACATTTATATACCAAAGCGAAAACACAGAGGATTATTGATTGGATTACTATGATTTTTCTTCTCTCTCTGAACATCAATACCTAATAAAAATATTAAAAACACTTCTAATTAGTAATGTAATGATCGTAGTATCTAATATAAATATTAAAAAGACAAATAGCAATATTGTATTCACATAAACATAAGCTTATAACCTTCTTTATTGAAACTACGTACCTAGTAGTAACTAACTTTTCTCAAGGAATCGTTTATAAAAACCAAATACTACTACTTAAGACTTAAGACTTATTTTTGAGAACTCGTTACAAATCCAAGAATATTGTATAAAAAAAATTGTTTACCCGTGATATACTGATGTGGGAGATGCGGCTGTGTGCCTAGCCACGCCATTATTTCTTTAATGTCTTCTTGCTTCACATTACGTAGTTTTTCGTATTCCTTTTGTACAGAAATAACCGAGACTGCCATCATAAATATTCACAAGCACAGTAATTTTTATTTATTACTTTATGAGATTTTGTAACTACCTGTAAAACAGTATATATCACGTGAAGAGCCTAGGAGTTAATGGAACATAAATTGAAACGACATGGATGACGCCGACTCTTTGTAGTCAATCGTCTCTATTGACACATATACAAGGTCAATAACGCTGCATTAAGTCAAAATTGGCTTGTGTGCTTCGAAATTTTTTGGTTCTATTGTTGTGCAGACAATACACTCACACTGCATTACAATTCTGGTGTATTTTTATTAGGTTACTCATAAACAAGACAGCGAATCAAAATTCACTAAAATCCTTGAAACCACGTGATCTACTGCCGGTTTCTACTAACGTTGCATTTTTGTAATAAAAATAGTTTTGATACAGTTTTTGATTTTGTACGTTTTCCGTAGAAACGTATATAGAACATCGTGTTTTAAACATATGCATTTGTGATTAAAAAATATATTCCAATATTTGTTAGCACTTATAAGAAAGGACAGATTAGAAACTAGTGGCCACCCATAGTAGATACAATTGTGTGGAGGAGTAGGCTATAAGTGGTGGAACACTACTTGTTTAGTGGTTCTTACACAAGTAGTGTGTAAGGACCCGATATTATAAAAAATATATTTATTTTAAATATTTTTATTAAATCTTCTGGATCAAGGCCCATCCATATCGGCCATATCTACTGGACCGAAGTAAATACCCAACTTCAAATGTTATATGATTTTCGGCTATCTTCTTCACTGTACACGTGTATTCAACATCACTTTATACGACCCAAAACCTCTGATCAATAAAATTCTTACGTAAACTAAACGAACATGATGAAAAATAAAGTTACCATAAAATCTCCCCAATTTTGCAACTAAAATAAAACAAACGTCACTACTTTAGCCCGTAGTTTGCGTAGAAGCATCACCGGAGTTACGAGAGCCGAACTTTCAGGTAACTACGTCATAATAAAAGTATTCATCAAAATTACTCCATCACCTCACCGCAGGTTTAATGAATATGCTTCAGCCTTATTCATGCAGATATACATCCGTGAATTTTGGGACCGATTCTGTGGTATTCAACTTACTCTCTTTCATACTTTATAATAATATCTAATAAAATAGGTCACGACGATCTAATAATATCTCCATAACTGTCTATAACATTTTTGTTTTATTTAGGGCAGTAGGTGCATTTTGCTTTGAGTTGATTTTAAAATATAGATACATAAATACACACTTACATACTAATAACACTTTTAGATTAAAAACATGACAAGTTGATAATACCAGTTGTAGTTTTACTTTAAATTAAAATGTAAAAATGAAGAAATATTAATTCTTCATCATCAAATACAATATATTATTATAATTAACACAGAAATATGCTTTAAAATAAAACTATCATTTATCTGTCAATTCGGATTCATTTCAAATTTTTCATATTTTTCACGAAACATACTTCCAGCTTTTTTATTAGAGCATTAGCTTTAGGCTCCGCCCGCGGGTTAGAATCAAAGTATCTCTATGGCAAATCGATTAAAACTGGTTCAGCGGTTTAGCCGTCAAAGCTAACAGGCGGGCAGACAAGGTTACTTTTGTATTTATAATAGGCAGGCGATCACCGGGAAAGGATGTTTTGGAGATCACCTGTGTCTGATCCGCATGGAGCCAACGCCTGAGTGGCCACACGAGTGGACACGGCGCTCCACACGCTGGCAGAATGCCCGGCGTGGGTGGAGCAGAGGCGTGACCTCGTGGTAGCCATCGGACTGGGAGTCTTCTAATATGATTGCCGCCATGGTATGGAGCAAGAGTGCGCGGAACTCCCTCGTCTCCTTCTGCGAGCAAGTTATGCTTGCGAAGGAGATGGGACTGGGAGAGGTTTAGAAACCTCCCGGCCCGCCAGTCCCGGAACCGGGCCAGGTACCGCAGACGACTCGGGTGCCGGTGGTCGCAGAACGTCCTCCATTAGCGCAGGCCTGGGGATGACAGGTGAGGCCATCTATTACCCTAGCAGAAGCAGGCAGGGGTGGCGGCGAGAAGAGCTGCGGAGCGCGCGCGCCTTTTCGGGAGCACAAAGGGAACATGGGGGTTCCCATACAGGAGGGGGTCATCTACACGTCGTACCAGTGATTTCCTTTCTAAGGTACACCTGGTTCACCGGCTACTGGCACCCGAGACTGGGACATAATCACCCCACCGGTGGGTGATCCATCCAAAGGGTTTTCCGCAGAGAAAAAAAAAGAAAAAAGAGATGTGAAGAAAAAAAAAGAAAAAAGTATTACCGAAATAATGGGATGCGAAATATGATAATTATAAATTTAAAAAAAACCGGTCAGGTACGAGTCGAACTCGTTCGCCGAGGGTTCCGTACCTACCCAGATTTTACGTAGATTTTCGCGAAAATTTGTAAGTACCAAAATTTATCTTAATTTTCAACTTCTTTATTTTTTGGAATTATTCCTTTATTTGTGCTGTAAGACGTTTCTTTTTGCCAAATGTCGTGATTCTAGGTGAACGGGAACTACCATATAGGTTTTCGACCCAAAACCTATAGGGTACTTCCGGTTGACCTAGAATTGACAATTTTCGTTAAAAGCAAGGTCTTACAGCACAGGTAAAGAGAAAATTCTGAAAAATAAAATTGGAAATTAAGATGAATTTTGGTACTTACAAAATTCGTGAAAATCGAAATTTGCCCAAATCTTTTTATCGTGTTGACTCAGGACCTTGATTTTTATACACCTAATAGGGACCATAGACTTCAGTATCTGGTGTAAATTTCAACCTGCTAGGTCTACCCGTTCCTGAGAAAATCTGTGGTAACACACGGACAGACACAGACGGACAGACGGACAGACAGACAGACGGACAAGAAAGTGAACTTAAAAGGGTTCCTTTTTACCTTTTGAGGTACGGAACCCTAAAAATACAAGTACACATGTTTAATTATACATAAAATAAACATTATTATACGCATATCATTTTAAATTATCTAATTATTTTTATTTGTTTATATCTATAAATCTATCTTTATTTCTTTTAAATTCGTCGCTATACCTAAGAACAACTGTGCTAAACTATGAATAATATAAAAAGAAATATTTAAAAAAGTTAAAACTATTTGACTTTTGCTCCCAGAACGGATTAAGGAGGATGGAGAAAAAGGAGGGTTTGCCCTGCTATACCACGCTGGCCAGACGGGTTGGTATAGGATTTGTAACAAGTTTTCCTTCTTCTTGATATATATCTTCTATACAATATATATATATTTATTTTGTACTTAATGCCTAAAGAAACAAATTACTATCTAAACTAAATTGCGGATCTTATCCCTCCGACTTGCAACTTTGATTGAACGAACGCAGAATGCATGGTGCATCGTAAATATTTACTACCGAGTGTAGACTCTAAAGCTTCTTATAACTATGAGTAAGTACTATTAGTTCATTGACTAAACAAGCGCGGTTCGTGTTATAAAAAGCTGTTGTTGGGTGGCAACTACTCAAGTTGTTCATTCAACTTTTTAATTTTAATGATGCTTAACATTTTTATTACTAATTAAATCCTGATCAAGGCGCAAAATTAAACGTTCAAGTACATATTAAACTTCCTCGTTTATATTCAAATCTTCGGTTGATTATAATGCCATCATCAACAGCCTTTAATCCACAGGCCTCTCCTTAGAAAGAAAGTTTTGGTCGACAAAATTTCGTAGTTTTTTTTTAAAATACCGTACCTGTACAAAACACAGGCCAATAAGAATATGATAGAAACCAATCTAGCTTCTAGTAATCATATTTCTCCTAATCACAATGCACCGACCTTGTTAAGCTTATTAATATAATCCAATTTCATGGGACTCTTGTTGTGTCTAATAAATATAGATGCGCCCTTGCCCGAGTTTCCACTACATCGGCGGTGTATGAACTCGTTAGTACCCATGTTCATTGTCGGCCGACTGGGTTCCAATCACGGTCCACCAAACGCTTTCAAAGTCTCCTTAGTGTGACCACCCTCATATCATATACATTATATTTTATTCTATACCTCTGTTCCACTTATTCCTATAAACCTCATAATTGTATCTCCCTAAGATGACAGCATGCAAGCGAAGTATTTCATGGCATTCTAAAGAAAATATACAATACTCGGGCCCTATATTCCTCGCGGTATAAGGTTGGGTGTTTACAACTGTTTGCCAACTACTATTTGGTCCTACTCACGTAATACGGGACAAACTGACTGTAATCGGGTACTGACGTAATATCTACTTACATTTTTATTTACCCCGATTTACGAAATAAAGTAGTGATAACAATGGAAAAAACGGCATAATGGTTATAAATATGATTAGGGGAATGTTAGGGAGCGAATGTAAGCTGACTTACGAAGGTCCTTCTCATATAATTGTAATTCTAAGGCGACAGCTGCCTTCTGAAATGAGCATCTAAGTAAAAAAAACTAAAACAAATATAGATTTTTAAATGTGGAACAAACATTACACATTTAAAAATCTATATTAAACTAGGACTAGGTTGTTGTTGCTGTAAGTATTCGTTTGCGATAATCCGGTTTATTACTTTTCATGGTCTTTTATTGGTTCAGTTTTCAGTACAGTTACACGTATAGATACTATATACCTACATATGGCATAAATAGTAAATATTTGTAAATTATTATCTTGTTTCCAAAAGCTGCAAGCATAAATTATTCATATTGTTGAACTTTGACTACAAAAGAGGAGATGCTAAGAGTTTAAACTATTGACATTTTGATTGTGACGTGTTTCGAATGTTTATATGAGACGAGTATTAATCGAAACTATGCCTGTAAGTACCTACTTACTTTTGGTTAGTCATGTAATGAGCTTTGGTATATATTTCTACTATATTCGCTTCTAAGAATACGCCATTATATCAAAAAAGCTTTTAATTAAAAACCTGGATTGAAGTTTATGTTGCACATTAGAAAGACAAACCACTAGCCATAGTATCATATTTATAATTTAGATTGTACTAACCTGATTTATTTACATGATACATACATTACATATTTACTGAAACGGACTCGACTATTTCGTGGTATTAGTTACGTTTAGCTGACAAATAAAGTAGAAAAATACGTTAATAAATATTCCATTTTGAATATTACAAGACTTTTATTATCCCCTAATATCCTAAATGCCACTGTTTTCTGAACCTGTCAATGTCTTTAGCAGTGTGATGGCTTCTCAAAAGGCAATTATCGTGCCAAGAGTTGATTGTCATACGTCATTCAAAGTAGTTGTTAGGAACTCATAAAATAAATTATTACCTGTATAATCAATAAGTAACGCCAGAATTATTTATTTCGTAGTCGATTTTGTTATCGATCATACATGTACTGAAGTATAGGTCAGTTTCAAACTCTTCAGTACCCAAATTCGGACAAAATACCAAAGCTTAGAACTTGCTTCTGATTTTTGTCTCGTGATGAGTGATGGGGCCATACATTTGTGTTTCATGCCAATCGAACAGAAAAAAAAAAACAAAATATAATATAAATACATTTAATAAGAACTATATGCAAAACTACAGTATTTTTTCATAATTCCTTATTGTATAAAACGTACCATGATAAATACTTCTTACAAAACTTGGTACATGTTCTTAAAGTAAAATACTACAGAATACAAAATAAACTACAAACGTGGACTAATCTTAAGGCATACTAAAAACAATAAAATTTAGAAGTTTTTTTTAATAGTTCTCGTTTAGTAATATGACGGCTGGCGTGAGGCGTCCTCTTACATTAATATAATAAACAAACATATTTTCAACACAAGTTGACATCAGTAAACCGGAGTTGCTTGAAGAACAGAATGGTTGTATGGTGATTTCAAACAGGGGTGTTGTCGAATACTTAAGATATTATCAGAAATTCAAAACAAAATCTATCCGAATCGTAAACCGAATCGACCGAACCGAATCATAAAAGTTTGGATAAATTTCTGGTAGAGGCGGCATCGAAATGAGATATTGGTTGCGAAGTCACACTTGTGTGGCTACGGATAATTTTACCAGATCCGTATTCATATTATTATTAGAGTTGTGTAGCTCCTGAATAAGTGATCTAAAAGATATATATCATTCACGCCGATAAACTGTATCACTCACACACACTAGCTGCCAAATGGGATCAGTGAGTCATTCGAATTTAAAAGGGGCTTTAATCTCAATACTGGCTTTTTCCCAAATTTCCCTTATTTTCCTTGACGCTACGAATAGTACCAAAGTAAATAGGTAATCAATTATGCATTTAGTTTTATTCTTGTTAAATGTACCTTGTTGTGTAAAAATGCATATTGAAGCAGAGTATAAATTTTTGATAGAAAACGCCGTGTAGTGCTTTTATTCGATGGGTATCTATACTTTAAACAAAATATATATGCTAATAAAAGCACAATTTGATTTTGTAGTAAAATACGAAAACAGAAATGCGTAACTGCGTAACACTTAAGTAACCTAAAGAAAAAGGATAAAATATGTCCTATAATAATATGCGGTATCAGTCGTACTGTCAACCGTTGTACCTACTAAATACTAATATTTGGTTTTTTTTTTAAGTATTAAAGCGTATGTAGAATGTAACCCTGATTATGCTGGTAATAAAATATTATGTTGTGTAGATAAAATGAAGGAAGACACTGGAACATCAGCTGAATCGGAGGCTACAATTTTTGTACCCCCCTAAAAGGAGACAACATATCTCGCACTATTTAATTTCTTAACGACAATTTGTCCTAAAAGGGTTCAAACGAAGATTCACACTATGAGTTTGCTGCAACTAATAACAAAGATTTTTTACCCACATATCGCAATTAGAAAATGTTATATTATATACCACTTTACCAACACTACCTGGAGAAAAAGCAAATCTTTCGGACTACGATCTAAACTTTATCGCCGTATTGTGGCGTTGTGTGCTTATATTCCTCTTTTACCAGTAAGTAGACAAAGTTAGAGTGGGGTGGAGTTATATTCAGTAGCAGTCAGAGGAGTATGTATAATGATGCCAAACTAAAAGTTTCTATGAAGTTTATGAAAAACGAAGGGTTTAAAAATGCTGACATCATAAATGAATGATGTTTATATAACTAACGACACCTAATAACGTCTTAGATAATGTTCATTCATAGTTAAATAAAAGAGTCAATAAAAATTACGTAACTGTCGTTAAATTACTCAGTGTACTGGAAGAAGAAGTCGCCATTAACTTCATGAAACGTAACTGAACAGAAGAAGCACCAACGTAAATAAAAGACGCAAACAAGAAATAGAAAAAGATAATTTTATATACAGTAAAAAGTTAATATATAAATAAATGTTAAATTACTATTAACCAGTTTTTAGAAACGGTGCGATAAAATTAAATTAACATTTTTATTTGGTTGTCCTTATCTTTCATCGTTAAGCATGTGTGCGACTCTGGATAAATAAAAATAAATAAAATAAACCATTGTTACACCAATGTGGCAATTCGGTGTGGTGTGATTACGGATCGGTTGCGAGTTTTTGAGTTTTTGTAGCAGAAATTGTAAATGTATTAAAAAAAACTGTAATATTATTTTAATAATACGTAACATTAAGTAGCCGTAATGATCACTTAGGTAGCCGTTTTCATTATTGTAGTCCCAACTGATAATTATGATCTATAATTTATTATCCTTTTGTATTTTACTTTAAGAATCCCTTATATTGCTAACATCCGTAAGTAAAACTATCCGAAACTATCTTGGTATAGAACATACAGAGGTTTTTCTCAAAAAGCTATGGATGAAATTTATTCTTTATCAATAGAGAACAACACTGTTCATGTGTTAGGTTTATTACCACAAACTAGATTTAATAAAAAAAATACTAGTGTAGTACTTAACAATTGATGATTGCTTACCTAGCATTTTCCGGTTTAAGTAAGTATGATTAAAATTATAAATAAATTCTAACGTTTTTTTTAAAATACTTCTTTACGTACTGATGTTTTACTTGACTCCAAAAGCTTCATAAGTCTGTTCTGCCAGCGAAGTCGCTGAACGTTATTGATGCGACGTGGAGGTTCCGTCTCGTCAGGAAAATACAAAGGGATACCCGTACTACATGAGGAAAATAAATTATAAACATAATACTTAAATAGCCAATGCCTTCTAACGTATTTATTATGTATTTATTTCGCGTGTTTAAACATTAATTGCGTATTATTGCATGATTGCCAAAATTGTATTTTATATTTAAAGTTATTTTCTTCAACTACCTCATTTTTGCCTGGAGATTCACAAGGATAAATATTTTCTTTATCTCTCGTCAGCATTACTTTTTTCTGCATTAAAGATACGATATGACATGCAAAATTTTATAGCGACAAACAAACGCATTTGATGATTTTTAATATAATTAGAAAGTCATCACGCTCGCGATTTTTTCAGTGTAGAATCTCCCTTATACAACTTTGTATTTCCCACTTCACCACCTTCAAGTTTTCTTTTGACTCAAAAAGTATGTACCCTCTATTGTCATACTCAAAACTCATTGAAATTGGTTGAGTGGATCAGGCGTAGAAACGTAACAGACAAACATAATTACTATCACACTATTCGACATTCGCAAAACTAAGTAAGATATTAAATCTACAAATTCTGAAAATTTTACTGTTTTCTCATGTCTCTCTTTTCGCAAATGAGTGCTATTGAAGAACCATCAAATAGATGTCAGGTGATTAATATTACCGGTGATGAGTTAAATTAATGATGCAATGTGATAGTGATATGTTTATATCGATCCTTTCGCCAATGAATCACTTGAAAATACTTACTCTCTTGAAGATTTTGTAGGTATTATAATTGGGGGATATAATTCAGTCTTTGTTATTGTAGATTTAGTGGTATCAATTGTATTGCCTCGACTTGATCTGTAATTGGTAAACAAGTTACAATATTACCGTTCTTCACGGTTATGAACAGTTAATCCAAAAACAGTTCCCGTTAATCAAATCTCTATATCATTTCAACATGTAGAATGGAATTTTAAAGCAGTCAAAGTTAATCAACCTTTAGGCAAACTGGTAAATAAACTAATTAAAAAACATAATTGCTAGGATATTAAATACTTTTAATGGTGAAATAATTTTCCTAACCTTTCTTGTTAAGGACGGACATACGGGTACGCCACCGACTTCTTCGAATTGGTGCAATATCAGTCCTGCTTCATCACTCGGTCCCTTTTTTGCTATATTTGTTGCTGTCTTAGCCCATCCGTTACAGGCCCCTAAATTATCCGTTTATACCGGTTGAAAATAATATTTACCCAAAGGTAGATGACTTTCTGGCTGTGCCATTGGGGCTGCCCAGCCATAAAAGAAATGAGCTCAAACTCTTTTGTAATTTAAAACATTGTACCAACCCTAAAGAGAATTTGGAAAAGTGTCGGAAGATTATAAACATGAAGATGATCATCAGGCTCAGGCTCAGAAGGCAGGATCAGAAGGTTTTTTAAATGTGATTAAAATTGTATTAAACGTAGACGTACGTATATCGGTGCTATATAAATAGACTTATGTAATGTGTAATAAATCTGATAACACCGACTAGCATGGTTTGGTCGTACCACAGACCTGGAATTCATGGTTCGAACAGATATGAGTTTTTATCGTGGGACAGCCATACTTATGAGGGCCGGCTTGACGGAATGATACTACGGCCTCAAAGAAAATAGGTCTTAAACAACTCAATCTTCAATTTTCACCAAGTGGGTGAAGTTATTGGCGGCCCAGCCGTCACTCTCGTCACTATTTCTGAGGGATGTACCCCAAGGGTAACAATATAAGTACGTGTGTCTCTGGAGTTACGGTAGTAACTTACTACCAGAAGACCCGTCTGCTCATTTGACCCTATTACATAAAAAAATGAATTGATATAAAAAAAACTAACACAGTTGCTTTAGATTTTACATCTGTTGCTTCCGGCAGACGCTTTAGCATAACATCGAATTTCGGGTCGTGGCAAGCCAATAATACCCAATGTCGCATCGATTTTGGCCAGGTTTTCTTCTTTACCAGCTATTAAATGCCATAAGTATTGTTGCCTTCTCGTTTTTCTGCAAAAGTATATTTATTTAATACCTCTACACGTCAGTATTTACTTGAATGTTTAACCATCGTAAACTGTTTACGAAGATTTTTGGATGGTTATGACTTTTAAAAAGATTGAGGACAACAAAAACACTGATAACATTGTTTTCAGCAGTCTTTGCTAACCTATATTTATGTTGTTAGAATATTTGCAAAGTCCTTCGCAAAACAGGGATTAGTCCTGTTGTAAGAGATGTTTTAAAAAAATCCAACTATTTATTAACAACCAGTTACGGACAACAAGAGTAATAAGATGCAAATCGACGTGATCTTGATAAGAAAAACTTACTCGTGGGGTTGGACAACTCCAAGCCCCATCATACGGTAATCGATTTCTCTAAAACAGAATACTTCATTGCTCAGCGGTGAACGACTGTTAAGCTTTTTATAATTTTTTACACAACATCCTAAGAGTACAGCACGTTCTTCTGGGGTCATTTTTGTTATGTATCCTGTTTTCATTGTGTGTTCCACTGAATTAAATATTTGGGTTTTAAATAGGCGATTAATCTCCAGTTCTAAAAACACATTTCTACATTTACTTTAATAAAAACGACAGAAAGAGCGAATCCCGGTTTAATTCAAATACCTAGCTTATATAGACTGGTACAGGCCACTAGGTACTTATGTTACTAGTGAGGTCAAATAAGTATTTGTTCTAATAGCGATAGCATAACCACTAGCAATTTTCTTTCGATTACAGCTGTTAAACTAGAATACTTATTTTTATATTTTAATTTAAACTTTAAAAGTTTCATGAAATTAAACGAAATATATTTGTCCCATTCCATCAAAATATGAGACAGTAGTAGCTTATTTTTAACAACCCGTCATGGTATCCCTTTCTTTTTTTTTTTTTAATGTGGGGAAATGACGCCGGACCGTCACCCCACCGGGGTTTGCGGCGGGGTGGTGTGTCGGACTCGACCGACTAAAACCACACGGTGTGCCACTCTGCGCCTGTAATAGGAGGGATCCGGGAACAGCTGTTATTAAGACATCCGGACCCCTCCTAGCGCCGGCCCGCTCCTGTTGCGGGCTCCGTCTCAAAATTTTCCTCTCTTTAGGCGACGTCCGGCACACGCGGACGCTGCCTCCTCGCGGCTGGCCAAACTAATGCGGGTGGAGGGGAAACCCACCCCGTCCACCCGCGGCCACACTCAGCGCGGCATGAGACGGTGATAAGTGCGCCTCCGCCGCCCGGTTCGCCGGCGGCGGATCGGGTCCGAGTGGAGGTCGTCCTCCCGGGCCTTCTCCGCCGCCTCCTTCTGCGAGATTACTTCCTCGCAAAAGGTAGCGACCGCGGTAAAACAACTGTCATGGCCATGGAACGTACTACGGCCGGTAGCGAGAGATCCACTCCGATGACTGCAGTGAGGGCCCGGCGCTGCGTCGCCCGTGCGGGGCAGACCGGCAGCGTGTGCTGGGCCGAGTCCTCACTGCAGTCGCAGTGGTGGCAGGCGGGACTCAGTTCCCTCCTAGCGACCGAAGTGCAGGGTACTTTCCGAAGCAAACCGTGCCCGGAAAAGCACCTGCGTCAGCCGGAAGGTAAGGGTCCCGTGCTGCCGCCCTGCCCACTCGGCGATGACCGGCTGGAGAGCCTCCACGGCGGCGAAGCCAGCGCATGGAGTCTCCAGCCGGAACGACCAACGAGCCATCGTGGCTCGGCGAGCGGCTTCGCGCCACTCGCGCACGTCTTCGGGCGGAGGGCGAAATCCGCTCTCCGCCGGGAGTCCAGCCACTCGGCGAGCACTTCCGCCTCCAAATCCCACGGGGGAGTTTCCGGCCAACGCGCACGCCACCTCCGTCGAAACGGTGCGGTAAACCGCGTATGGCTCGACCGCCATTACCCTCTGAGGGCGCCAGAGGCGTGCCCTATTCTGGGCGGTCAGAGCCGCCGCCCACACCGGTGCACCGTATAGTGCCATTGACCGGACAACCCCCGTGTACAGCCGTCTTTTCGCGACGCTGGGTCCTCCCAAATTGGGCAAAAGTCGCCCTAGGGCAGACGCAGCGCCCACCAGCTTTGGGTCATGGTATCCCTACCCCAACTCAGGTAACAGAAAACAAGACAAATTATTAACCAACAAGATGAAAACTCTTTCGTCCTAATGCCAACCAAACAATTTGGACACACATACGAAGTAATGTTTCGAATAAACGAGCATCTTTATCTGATAAAGATTTCCTTTTTTTCGCTGGTCCCATATGATGATAGTTCTTTGTATCAGCACCACCTAAAATAAAAATTTACAAATGATACAATTAACATATGGGAAAATAAGGATATTATAATTAAAATAAATGTTCCCATAAATTATCTAAACTGTAAAATTGTACTAACCAATAAGCATGACACAGTATTCCTTGCCCACTAAGATCCGCAGGTCAGACAAATTTTCTTGAAACTCATATTCCACTATCTCAGAATATGGAGTCCTCACTTTAGCTTCCAGATCCAACGTACGAAATGTCATTTCATCACTAACCTGTTAACAATTGAAACACTAATTATATCACTTCAAAAGTATTCCTGCTTTAAAAAAGTAGACCGCTTAATTATGATACTATGCTTCATTTACATTTAAAAACTTCATTAACTTATTTGGTTTATAACATTTTTTATTATAATATTTTATAATAATATTTTTTCATAGATTATACTGGATTGGATCCAATTAGCTAGAACAGTACCTAGAACACTACGTCACTTATCACGAAGTGTTCTTCACTTCAACCAATAAGCCAGTAGAAAACTAGTGACCAACTACAGTTCCAGAGATGGGGAATAATAAGTGTATATCATTAGACGAGTCGTAAGAGTGTTGGCAATATCCAAACCATAATATTGTGATTGTAAAGGTGAGATTTGTTTGTATATTATGCTTTCACGCCTTAACTACTTGTCATCACCAAATTTTGCAAAAACACGTTGCTATCAGCAAGAAAATATATGGCACGGATAGAAAAATACCTGGACTTAGCCACTGGCAAAAGCTAGTAGTTAAATTAAAAGTATATACCTGTAAGTAATATGCGCTGCAAAGAATTAATGCTCTTAGAAATCTCTCCATAGTTGGCAAATGCAACATATTTATCAGTATTGGACTTAAAATTTGCACAGGAGCAGTATAAATTGCTAGATCTATTACGTCCTGGAAGAATTGCACAATAATTTAATAGTGAATCATTAAACAACTTATTTCATGCATCCCCAAATCAAATGTACATATTTTTCTTAAGTGTATACTAATACTGTATTAATCAAGTGTACCTCTAACAGTAAAAAACAGTTGGTATTGGTTCGGGATAGAAACATAAATATATTAAAACCTAACAAAATAGTGACATGCTTAACGAAAATAATTAAAATTATTTTCGTAATAATAACTTTATTTAAATAACACAGGTATAATCATAACAATTACTGTTGGAGACTCCTTTTAAGCATGTATTTATCATCCTTTCTTATGTATATTTTTCCGTATGCAGTCCAACAATATTTAAAGCTTTTAGTCTTCGCAAGGTCTCTCGCTAAAAAGTGCAGGCGAGCTGCTTTTGCCGTCAGGGAATTACGCTATCTTCTGCCGACCTAAGTCCCAGATGACCAGAACACAATTTAGGATTTTGTTTGTGTGCTTTCGACTACAATTGGAGGGGTTTTTACTATATTTTTGTTATCTATAATTCTGTACACATCCTTAATATCATAATAATATATGACGACCGGATGGCGTAGTGGTTTGTGTAACGGACTGCTATTCCAAAGGTCGCGGGTTCGATTCCCGCTCATGTCAAACATTTGCATGTTTGATTTGGTCTGGATGTTTCTATGTATAATATGTATGTATTTACAAAAAAAAAAGTATATATGTATTTATATCAGTTGCCTAATACCCATAGTATAAGCTCTGCTTAGTTTGGGACATCTAGTCCCAAACTAAGCAGAGCTTGTACTATTTGCGTTGCGTTGTGTGAATGTATTATATATTATTATTATTATTATAATATCGGACTTGCTCATGGTACACCCAGTTGTGTTCCCCAGGGATTGGATCATGCTGATTAGATCATCCTTTGTTTCATTTGACTTATTAGGAACATTTTTTATTTCTGTATTCGTTTTTCGTTGCTCTTGTTGCATCTTGACAATTTTTTCCTCTAATATGGTAATTTTTATTAAATTCCCTTTTTTTTCTTCTTTTACTTTTTCTTCGAGTGATTTCATTTTTTTCCTGAACTCCTTATATTGTGCAGACAGGAAATCAATGGAATTTTCTATCTTGATGTTTAACTGCTGAATTTATTTCAGCGTAGCAGTATTTTTTTTAAGTCTTGTTCCTGCGAATTCAGTAACGTTAAGAACATCGCTTGTATCTCCATTTTAAACTAAGACAGCTCATCAGAGAACTCATCATCTCTTTTTCTCTTTGGTCGGCACGATGTGTAGTTTGGTGGAGTAGTATTTCTTGTCCAACGCAATCCATTTCTGTATCAGAGAGCGATTTGTTTATTATCATTCTATATTAGAAGTCATAGCTTTTGTTGCAGAGCAGTGCAGCAGGAGTGAGACAGAGCGTGACAACTTTTTGCGAAGTCACTGAAGTATATACACCACAAAAAACGCACTTATGCTTCACTAATAAGACACTATTGTCGTTTGACTTGTTTTATTGAATTTATAAAAACTACCTATGACACGACCACACTTAATGCAATCTCGGACGGAAGGAGGATATACTTAATAGCTATAATCTTTTTTTTCTAATGTAAAATAAACAATAAGGCAAAAGTCATGTACAGACCATGTAATTAGTCACATTAAAGACACTTGAAGTATTGCCACTGGGCTTCTCAGATCGTAAAACAGATCAAATGCTAAAAATACCAAAGAAAAAAGCATTTTGTAAGCCTTATAAAATTTATACTATGAAGATAAACTTGTGTGATGAGAATATTGAATTAGTTTGCAAGCATCTTCAACTCCTCTTCAACTAGAGTTGAAGAGGAAGAAGATATAAACACAGCGTTTGATTATTTTCATGAAAAGTTTTTCTTATTCTACAAACTGTCCTTTCAGAAATAAAGAAAAGATATTCTACTAAATATCAATGTATGACATGGGTAAGAAAGGGTATTAAGTATAGCTGTAAATATAAAAGATCTCTAAGATTGAGGTATTACAGGAACAGCACTTCTGAAAGTAATTTAATATTCAAAAACTACTCAAAACTCTTACGATCCTATATAGAGAGATCTCAAAAAATATGTAACCATAAACATATGAGCAATGCAAGTATACAACAATAAATAGTTACAACTACTACTATACTAAGCTGCGTTAAAGGCTATTAATGAGGACATAGATAATATCAATAGTAACGACTTTATTGAAGTAATAAAAACAAATGACAGAACAATTACAAACCCATTAGACATAGCAAATGAATTCAATACATCAGACCTACAAAATACAGACCTATAAAATAAATGAATAATGTATAAATACTAATAAACTTATCATAAATGACACTATTCTTTTTTTGAACTGGTGACACTAATAGAAGTTAATAATATTATATTTTCTCTCAATTATTCAATTCATGGATATGATGAAATAGCGACAAAGGTATGAATATGTTGCGCAAAAACTGAGCCTTATTTATTTCAACGCACTTAATTATCCTCTCCTTTAACAAAGTGCATTTCCGGCATTCATTAAAAATGTCAATTAAATCGTTACATAAAAACATCAGAAAGAAAGAGTTGAACAATTACAGACCGATAACATTAATACCAGTGATATCAAAGATATTTGAAAAACTATGCATATAAGAATTACATCGTTTATTAACAAACACCTGAACAAAATGGTTTCCAGAAAGGAAAATATGTTCTTACTCAAAATGTTATCAGAGACTTAGATAGTAAACAATTAACGGTTTCAGTGTTTTCGATGTCAAATGCGTTCGACTTCGTTTCTCACAGTCTGTTGCCCGAATCAAATCAAATCGAAGCCGAGACCTCAGCACAGCAGTCGCATACCCAACCACAGCACCACCGAGGCAGTTACATAGCTGACAGTACGTACATGTTTTTTAAGAAATCTGCAGTTTAACTGTCAAAGATTTGTTTTTGAATATTCGTCCAAGAAAATATAAATTTTTTACAAATTTATTTCTTTTTGCTATTATTTACCATCTACTTCGGCCCAGATTGTTAAGTTAACTACAATTTTAGTAATGGAAATTAAAAACAATTTGTCAACTACTGTAAATAAAAAGACAACTCCCGAACTACGAATAAATCCTGTGTCGCGGGGGACTTTACACACATATGTACATGAAACGGACACAAAGAACACCCAGGCTCAAAACAACAATTTGTGGATCACACAGTCTCGTCTCATATGGGGATCGGACCTACAACACTCAGCGTAGTAGTAAGCAGCATGGCGACCGCTTAAACCACTACGCCACCCGTGCAGTCAATAGAAATCTATCAGCAAAAATGACCCCTAAAACCCCTTAAAGAATCTGGGTCGACTTAACCAGTAACCCTGTATATTTGTATTTATATATATATACTCGTATATATATATATATATATATAATATATAATAAAAGCGACAGATCAAGTCAAAACTAACCTGCAATGTAATGACGTCAAGCTGTCCAGGTTCCAATTTCCTTTGATACCGGCGTCGATAGCGAAACTAGAAATGGTAAATAATTATATAAAATTAGTGTGGTACGCTGTAGAATTACTGATTTTGCTGATATTTTGCAAGAAATAATAATAATAACTTCACAAGTATCACACACGCCAGTCTGATCCTAAACTAGGGCAGAGCCTGTACTATGGTAACAAGCACGCTGATTAAAATACTTATATATTTCTAAATACATACAAAATTATTATATGTAGATCAATTACATCCAAACAGAACATCACATGTTTTGTCCTGGGTGGGAATCGAATCCACGATCTCTGACTTAGCAGTCAGTTTCACTAACCATTAGACAAAGGTCAGGAGAAGAAATGACCTGATACAAACTTAAACCTAGTAGAATATTTGGGATAATTTCTCTCTAAGACGAGAAAATTACATTATTTTAAATTATATAACCAAGCTATAATATAACTCTATCACCTGTTCAATTAAATCTAAGTCATCTCTGAATACAATAACTCCAGTGGCAACCTTAGTAGTTGCTTTCTTAGTTTGTACTGGCACGGGAGGGCGATCACTGTAACATTTTAATTTTTATTTATTCCAAAGATAAGTTAATATATAATGCTGGCTTGCGCCCCCGTGTATGTCGGTCATCGATGTAAAAAGTAGCCGATGTTACTCGCTGAAAATGTTTTTCATTTATGTAAGAATTTTTTAATCGGTTTTAGCGGTTTAGGCAAACAACAAACTACTTTTCACATTTATAAAGTATGGCATGCATGAAGCATACACCCTTAATTTCGGTCTTAGTATTCGCCCAGTCTACATACAAAATAATATATGACGTATTCATTTTAGCTAAATACCATCTGAACACATTTGCTGACACATTTTTGTGGATGAAATTTATAAATTGTTTGCTCAATTCTTGAAGAATGTCCATACTAGTAAGTGGACAAGAACACAGTCTCAATAGATTTCGACTATTTTATTATCCATCCTCACGTTCGATAATTACATTTTAGGTCCCGAGCAGCGTGCCAGCGATGTCGCACGACCTCGGTCGCAGCGACTCGCGGCGACTTCCAGCTACGGAAAATTTTCGACGGTCATCAGTCGCTGGCACGCTGCATTTAGCCTTTTAGTTCTATATGCTGCACGAGCCCTTAAGCTAATAAACACCATAGATTAAGGTTTTTAGTAATGAAAAACGACACAAACCTCACAAAAATCAAAGCTGCAGTAACTTCATCCCATACCCAGTGCCCATCTTCGTATAAACCTCCAAAAAATCCTTCTTCGTCATCTTCAGACATTATCACTGTAGTATAGTATCGTCAAAATCTTAACTAAAATTCTTTACCATATATAAGATCGTCACAAAACACATTCAAGTTTTTCTTAATTATTGCGAATGTGTATTTTGGATTTTACGTCTTATTAAATTACAATATTAGTATACAATATCATTATTACACTACTTGTAGTCACACCAGCACAACGTTTTCTATAAAGGTAGGTCGTCTTCTATCTTATGTATTAATTTTGCTCACTGCAAAGGTAGTTACAACTTAGGAAATAAGATACAGATCAGTCAAACGATTCCTTTTTGAGAAACTGATGTCTCATCATCATCATTATCAGACTATCGCAGTCCGCTGCTGGACATAGGCCTCTTCCATTGCACGCCACTTAGATCGATTTTGGGCTTCTCGCATCCAGCTCCTGCCAGCCATCTTGCGCAAATCGTCACTCCACCTGGCCTGTGGGCGTCCTACACTTCATTTGCCTCCACTCAAGAACTCGTTTTCCCCAACGGTTGTCGGTTCAGCGGCTAACATGGCCAGCCCACTGCCACTTCAGCTTGCTGATTTAGTAGGCTATGTTGGTGACCTTGGTTCTCTGCCGGATCACCTCATTCCTGATGCGCTCTCTTAGAGAAACGCCGAGTATAGCCCTTTCCATAGCACGTTGAGCGACTTTGAACTTGTGGACCAGCCATACCGTAAGTGTCCACGTTTCGGCTCCATATGTAATGACGGGTAGGACGCACTCATTGAAGACTTTCGTCTTAGGGCACTATGGGATCGACGATGAGAAGACTCGACGTAGCTCCCAAACGCTGCCCAACCCAACTGAATTCTTCTGTTCACCTCGTCCTCAAAGTTGTTTCTACCTAACTGCAATGTCTGCCTGAGGTACACATAATTTTGAATAACTTCGAGAACGGCACCGTGTACCGCAATCGGTTCTGTTGTCTATGGTAGGAAAAACCTGTGTTACAGATCACCAGAAAAAACGATCAATGATTGATGATTTTGAGCTATTTAACTAGTCAGGGGGGACCCTACCAGGAAACATGGTATGAATTCGCCCGCACGTCGACCAAGTAACGTCTCCGCAGAGCCCGAAGACTTCCGAGCATTTCCAAGGATTTCTGAAGACCTCCGAGAAAGTTGCTCACTGCACGGAACTTACCCGTGCTTCCCGGCCCATGCCGGACGTGTGTTCGCAGTGACGTGCGCCCACCAATGCAGTGGCAATAAGCACAACAGTGCTGATATAATTGTGGGTCGACCACAGCCCAACTCCCCGGAGTAGGTTTTTAGCGGCGAATCTGTTGTGCTTGATTGCACCTGCGAGATCTCTGCGTCAACCGAATCCGGCCGAGCTACAATCCACCGGCTATCCAAACATCGCAACGCGAGCGGGGAGCTCGCTCCGCAGGCTCGAGCGCCGTCCCTCGCATGCCAACGTCCAGCGTGGGAGGAAACAACCAGACACGACAAGAGAGCTGCCCTCACGCTCCGCAGGCTTGTAAGCCGTCCCTCGCTCGCCAACGCCGAGCGTGAGAGGAAACAACCGGACACGACATGAGAGCTCCCCACACGCTCCGCAGTCTCGAAGTTTGAGAGCAAACGCCGCCCGAGCTCTTGCGGCTGCGACCACTCCCGCCTACTTCTACTACACTACACTACACTCCCGGCTCCTGTGCCTACTTGAGCCAAGTATGCGCACTGTGCGCGGGTGAGGAAGGCCGCCGCCACAGCAGGAGCAACACAACGAGGCACTCCGCAGACCGCGTTACGGTGCGGACTGCCCCAACAAAGTATGGGGAACCGCGCGTAAGTCGCCGCCTCTGTCGCTGATCGCTCGGAGCTGGGCCTCCCCAGGTGTCGCCTGGGGTCTCACCTGGCTCGGGCTGATCACCAGGGTGCGTGAAGACTGACACGGTCCTCCACAGAACAACCAATACCGTCAAGGTAATCCCATGACCTATCCCTTTTTTTCGTGCGGAAATCCCCTCGGATACCACCTTTCGGTGGCATGTCGGACTCGAACCGACTAAAACCGCACGCCGTTTCGGGTACTAATAGCCGGGGAACCAGGTATACCCTAGAAAGGAAGTCCCTGGTGCCCCGATATGCCTCGGGCCATCTACAGACGAGTAGATGACCCCCCACCCCGTGTGGAAACCCCATGTTCCCTCTGCTTCCTGAAAGCGAGCGCACTTCGCAACGCGCTCGCCGCCACGCTCGCAGAAGGAGACGGCAGAGTTCCACGCACTCTCGCTCCGCACGATAGCCGCAATCATGCTATCGAGCGAGAGACCCATGACCTACCCCTGTTTAGGGGTAGCGGTAGACACCGCTGGCAGAGGGCAAAAGCCCACCGTCACTGTGTGTGTGTCACAGTGCTTCACACCGTCCCTGGACGGTGTGAAGACCAGCGCTACCATGAAACATTGCGATTAGCAAACGTGATAAAAACAGTAACGGGTCTGGCCTTTCCATGCTCTTAACAAAAGACACCAGTGTAAAGAAATAAATCGTCAAAGAATAGAGGAAAACAGAAAATGAACTAGTGTGATGACGACACTATTCATTAATACACTAATTACATCGGTAAAATTAAAAATGTAAATACACTCGCACTCCATATTTAAACTTAAACAGCAAGATTTTTACATATATTGAGTCGAAATCGAAATAGCATAATAACATTAAAATCGATGTGACTAAACAAACGTATTTCGTTTATTTATAAACGTTAGGATAATACAATACAGTAATACAGTACTAGGTCAATATATAATACAATACAATACAGTTTTAGGTCTTCACAAAATTATTAAACTTGAAACTTCTGTCAACATATTGCTTGAACATATTATTTATGGTTTCAAATGACATTGTATCGCATGCTATATTTTTAGCATAGATTATGATAATGAGTAAAGGTAAAAAATAGTTTTGAAAAGGTTTTGGTTTCGGTTCATAAAGAACTGAAACAAACTGAACGGATGAATAATAACTTTTCACTCCGGATATTGCTTGCTCCTTGGTTTAACAGTTTTTTCCTCCCTTGTACTGGCCAGCAAAAAAGGGAGAATAAATTTTAACCTGAAGCCTCGATGAGGTAGAAAAACAGAGTAGAGTAATATTATTAGAGAAGGTAGGCTAGGCTTGATGATAAGACATCATCTAGAACTTCTTTTAATCAGTTATTCGTGGGAAAACTTTGAATCCTCGTTTTTATTATTGACAGTCTAGCTATTGAATTGCTGTTGGTGCTGTTGACCAATAAGGAAAAGCCGAGTTTTAATTTCCAATGACTTGAGGTCTGAGGTTGATATCTTATACTCTCAAATTTAAAAAAATAACCCCAGATACACTGGGCCTGAAAGCACGAAAACATCAGGACTGGTGTAGCGAAATCAATACGTACGTCATCATCGTCAAATTGTTTATTATATTATGGGTAATTGTAATGGTGAAAAGGAGGTTTAATTACAGGGTAGCTACAAGTAATTTAAGTTTTAAGAGTGTGACGTGTGCGTTGTAAATAGGTATTTTGTGAATAAAGAGGATTTTTTTTAAAAGATAGTGTTAAGTGACGAATTGACGAAGGCTAGCATCATCATCATCATCAACAGCCTTTAATAGTCCACTGCTGGACATAAGCCTCTCCTTAGAAAGGAGAAATCGCGAACAAACTGTATTGCATTATTTCCCGAACGAAATTGCAATATTAACATTAGCAATTAACATGCCATGTTTATTTTGAGCCTCCAGCATTACTCAAACAATTATGACAACCATTTAGTTTTTAACCATTTTCACCAGCACTTACTTATGTGTAGATCTGACGAAATCAAATTGAAAATTTTATATAATGGTGGACCGAACCACAACTGACGGTACCAGTGATGATCAATTCAAACAATCAATATGATCTACCCACGGCCCATAACATTTAAAAGTATCGTTATTGAATTAATTCTAAATATTTATATACATACATTATTTATTATTATTATTACATACGAAAAAGAGCATAACTTGCAAAATGTAGTATATTACTTTAAAATTAAAGGATTTCTAAACATAATTTCACTAATCACTGATATCTACCTAATTGAATTTACAAACACATATCAAAATATATTAAGGGAGGAAGAGCCCGTACCGATACACTTTCTTCGTAATGTAAAAACTTAAAAGTGCGCAATGGAGGTTGGAACGGTCGGCGAGTATGAAATTCGAATCGTGGCTTTTGATAGAGACTCGATCCAAAGTTTATCTTTGAAGAAATAAAGGCGCACAAAATCGATACTTTCGTCAAATAACTATTCAGATTATTTTATGACATATGTATTTCTTGAATAATTACATTTCCATCACATGTATCAATGGTACAGTATCCTTAATTTTTTTTTCTTTCCTTTTAATCTTTCACATGTTAGTTTTTGTACGTACTTTAATAGTTTTTGAATGAAAGAGTTATTTGGGGTAGCACATTCTAGTATAATTTTCACAACAGTCGAGTAGTTCATCAAAATCATTCAATTAGCCTTTCTAAATGTGACTATCGTGGCTGATTCCCATGATTACCGACTTATCTAGTTTGCTGCGTGATTGGTCATCAGTTCAACACTGAAATTGTTCTTTCGTAATGTAAGTATTCGTAAAAATAGCACTCTGGACGCCTACTAAGTGCACTTGGGTTCACAGTTTGATGTTTAACCTTGTTTGGCAAACAATATGATGATATTGAAAAAAGTCTGTCACTTTTTTTTTAAGGACAAGTGGACGTATAAAAGTATTTGAATGTTGAATGAATTTTGATGAACCGACGACTTGAGGAAAGTGGCTGGCAGCGGACTGCCTAAGACCGGAATAGTAGGCGCTCCTTAACGGAGGTCTTCGTTTAGAAGAGGGACGGCGATAGGCTGATGATGATAATGACATTCCAACTATCGATTATCGCGGCCCTTTAGGGTTTTGTGCAATAATATTTTACATATTCCGTGTTATTTCTAATAATTTAATCTGCTCGTGGCAACATCCAATACGTGTATCTGTGGTGTAATTTTTTAATATATTTTCGATTTCGAACCTCATTATTCAATATGTTCTGCGGTGTACATGATTTTTCGAAAATCCCCGTACTGGATTTTTTGCACGTTGTATGATATTGATGATTTCATAATTATAGGAGGTAAAAGTAATTTTTAGCCGTATTTTTTCATTTACATTTATATTTCATAGCGTTATTAATTATATTCGCCTGCGCTGTAGAATTTTTTTTAATATAACCTTGTCGCAAAAATATTTTAACACAGCGTTACCGGCACTAATAATTTGACATTATTCCGTATGCTTGTATTGTATGTAAACTTGCATCTGCAGAATTTACTGCGTTTGGCGCCGTAATATTCTATTACGAATTTTATTTATTTATTTAATTAGCTTTTAAACAGTGACTAAAGTATAATTACAACTTTAGAAACTTTAGGGTTTCCCGCTGGGGTTTGGCACCTTAATAAGCATCTGGAAATGAGCGACGTAATTTGTTATATATAATCCTAAATATTTTGAGGATTATAATAAACAAAATTCGCTTTATAATTTAACGAGAGTAAATATATTTTGTGCACTTTTGCATACGTATTCATGCTGCCAAATCCAACGTCCTACTATCCGACAGTTCCAAACACTGTTAAACAAATGAGCTAAAAAATCGGCTTTTATAAAATTACGATATACATAGGACATAGGACGGATAAGACAAAAGGGACTCCTTTCATTTTGATCCTGGATGAAGAAGCTTTATGAGTCTGTTTTGCCAACGCCGCCGTTGCGTTTCACTAACTGGTCGAAGAGGCTCTGTCTCATCAGGGAAATGCGGTGGGAAATATGGCCTAAAGGAAAAAAATAACAACAATAAACATTAATACAATAAAAAATCCTGAAAAGCGCGAGTCTGACTCACGCAACTAGTGTCCGCCTTACACGGAGATTGTTATTCAATCTCGAAAATTTATTGAAAAGAAAACAAAGATAGGCATTAGCGTTTGAAATTAATTTCTTCTTGATGCCTTCACACATTCTTGAGAAAAAGTATCTTGACAGACATAAAAAGAGACAGAACGTGTCTGACATGCTGCCTGCCAAAATGTAAGAATAAAATTGTTAATAATACGAAAGCCAATATAATAAATTAAAATCCTAAACAAATACTAACTCTCTAGTTGATCTTGGTGGTAAAACAATGTCAGGATAAAGACGTTGAGCTACTGTGGTACTTTTTCTCATTGAACTGCCACTACCAATAGATGTGCTGTACCCACTGCGAGATGCCCTGTACATAGAGATAAAAAATATGTTTTTTAACTGTGTGTAACTGTGTATATGATAGTAAGTTAACTGTTAAAGTGTTTTCAAGACTAACTTCTCTACAGTAACTCTATTACCTCATATATTATTTGATAATAATAATGATTCTCATTTCATAGGTTAAATATATATATATATACTTTTCTCACAAATTTTAAAGAATATAACAAACCCAAGGGTGGCAAAATAAGTTACGAAGATTCAAGCAACATTATTTTCCTACATTAAAGTCAGTCATACGAGTTAAGGATGCCAAAAATGTACTAACATGGAACCTTTAGATTTTGCATCAGAACCTGTCGGTAGAGGTCTGAGCATAGTATCAAAATGCGAACGTGATAGGCCAATTATGCCCAGTACTACATTCAGATCACTCAGAACATCTTCTGCCCCAGCAACAGCTTGCCACATGTACTGGTGACGAGCAGTCATCCTATAGAAAATGGAAATATGTACTACAAATGCTATTTATATTTTATGAAGTTATATTTCATTAAGTCGTGGAGGTAGTCCTCCATTAACTTACAGCTTCAAAGTTTAAGTTCAAAACAAAAAGTTCATAATCATTCTTTGGCTACTACTATCTCATAATAAAGTTAATATAGAGATAGAGATGAGGAGGTATCTTTAAATTCAAATAAAAATATTCGTAAGTTGTTTTAAACAACGGGGTCGGCATTAGACTAACGCAGCACTTGCGCCATGTCAGTCCAACGCAGACCAGGATCTAAAACAGCTCGAGCAACCAGACCAAAGCCGAGCATCTCCAATATTCCACGAGTTTGTTAAACCGTATTTCCTTAATAACCTTTACAAACATTCTAGACTAATCCAGACCTTTATACCTGTCCGTGTTAAGTAAATAAAGTCTTTTAAAATAAGTGTATCTAAAATATTAAATGGCTTACTGTGGACATTTGACAACTCCAAGTCCCATCATGTGGAAATCAATTTCCCTGTGACAGAACACCTCGTTCATAAGGGGTGAACGAGTGTTAAGTTTTTTGTCGTGTCGCACGCAGCTACCGAGCAACACAGCGCGTTCCTCAGGCGACATTTTACCTATGTACCCCGTTTTCAAAGTGTGCTCCACTGCGTTAAATATTTCTGACTTAAATATACGGTTGGTTTCCAATTCTGAAAAAAAAGGTTTTTTATGTAAGAGGCAATCAAGTACCTAATTTGTCTCTTGACTCTAAAACTATTTATTCTGGGATCTCATGTGCCGTACAACTGATGCGTGCCTGATACATGCAACATGATCATGCATGCAGCATTTTCTTTTGTATTTTCTTTCTTCTCTATTAAGTGATATGTATGATAATATTTTTAAGTGGGCAAAGCTGTATCTTATTGTGGTGCATCTAAGATGTAAAACTTTTTTTTCGTACATGATCTGATTAGTTCCACCACAGTACTTCTAATGCCACTTTGTAGTATTCTGCTTTTTTGTTTTATCAGTACTAAAATGAAACGAGTTTTCGCTCAACATAGAAATAAAATAAAGTATATAAGTTTTGAGTAAAATGGTGTAATTCTTAACAAAATTTTATAAATGCCTTCATGATATATGTGTTTCTAAATAAATATTCAAATAGCCTACCAATTTGATGAAAACTTTTTCGTCCTAAAGCCAGCCATACTATTTGCACACTCATACGCAACAGAGTTTCAAACAATCGAGCGTCTTTGTCTGAAAGGGACCGGCGTTTCTTTGCTGGCCCCATATGATGAAACTTTTTCGTGTCCGCACCACCTGAACAAAGGTATATAAAGCTGTGTTACATTAGATATTCTGATACTAGAAACATACAACAGTTTAGCATTAAAAAATATACAACTCCCAGAAGAAAGCATGTTAGACAAACTTGACCAGGATTAAACTAATTTTAACGCAAAAAGGTTTCAGCATTGATGTGGGTGATCCTTTACTAAAAGTTACTTACTTTTAACGTATTAAAAGTAATTGTCTTATATACCAGGGAGCGTTTTTATGTTCGCGGAATGGGGGATAAGGGGTGGAAATAAAAAAACCAAATTATTTTTCCTTTCAATATATTCACCTACAAGACGGATACATTTTTCAGATCTTTCAATTAATTTGTTTATATCATAAAAAAATGTTTTCTCTTTGTCTTCAAAATACGCCGAAACTGCCTCCTTGACTTTATCATCGTTGGTAAATTTTTTACCCCGCAGCTCTTTTTTCATTTTTGGAAACAGGTAATAATCGCTGGGGGCCAGGTCTGGTATGTAGGGTGGGTGATTCAAAATATCGAAGCCCACCTTATGCAGGGCAGCCAACGCAACGCGGCTTTTGTGGACGGGCGCGTTGTCGTGCAAAAGCAACACGCCTTTTGTCAATTTACCCCATCTTTTCTCTTTAATGGCTTCTTTGAGTCGCTCTAATATTGAAGCGTAGTATTCTTCGGTTATAGAAACACCTTTATCTTTATAATCGATCAATAATATTCCTTCTGAGTCCCAAAAGACCGTTGCCATGAGTTTCCCAGCTGACTGTGACACCTTAAACTTCTTGGGAGGTGCTGTGTCCTTTTTATGCCACTGCATAGAGTCTTGTTTCGACTCAGGTTCATAATGATGAACCCAAGTTTCGTCTCCAGTAACAATTCTACTCAATACAGCACCCTTGTCTTCATTACAAAGGTCTAAAAATGCACGTGAACACTCTACGCGCTGTTGTTTTTGCGTCGGCGTGAGCATTCTCGGCACCCATCTTGCACTGACCTTTGTCATGCCAAAATGATCGTGCAGAATTCTAAAAATGGTTGTATCAGATACTCCAACCATTTCTGCGAGTTGTTTCTTCTTTAGTCGAGCATCGTCGAGTACAATTTTTTCGACTTTTTGGATAAGTTCTGGCGTGATCACCTCGATGCTCCTGCCCGGCCTCGGGTCGTCTTCAAGGGATTCCCTTCCTTGTTTAAATAAACTGGACCTGGACAAGAGTCGCCGTAAACCAATGACATCTCATTCATTATGGTCGCAACTGATTTTCCTTGCTTGGTAAGGAACTTTAAAACGGCACGATATTCGATTTTTTCCATGTTTCACTTTTCACTCCCGATTATGTTGCTTGGTTGACGATAACTCAAAGACAAATTGTCTAATAACAATGAAATCTGGTATTTATACTAATTATGAGTCACTGAACACGTGACGATTCTAATGAGCCTAATCACCCCCCTCCAACCCTCTCATTCCGCGAACTTAAAAACGCACCCTCGTAGCTCTAGAATTTTTTATAAAACACAAACCAATCAACATGATACAATACTCCTTGGCGGCTAAAACTCGTAGATCTGACAAGTTATCACGAAATTGCCTCTCTATTTTTTCGCAATCTGGAGTCCTTACTTTAGTGTCTAGATCCAACATGCGGTGTGCCATTTCGTCGGCTACCTAAAATAAGCGTTCTGATACTTCATATATACTTTTCAATTTATAGGAAGTTTAATATTTTCCTGTATACTAACCTGTAAATAATATGCACTGCACAAGATCATTGCTCTCAGAAATCTCTCCGTAGTTGGTAAATGCAACAAGTTTATAAGCGCCGGGCTCAAAAAATTTACAGGTGCTGTGTAAATTGCTATATCCTTTACGTCCTGCAATTATTAATTATATCAGAAACATGGATCTATAAGTCATGTTTCTAATAAAATTTTACCGGGCTACGATAGGTTATCGCAAAACGATTAATGGAACATTATGGCATAAAGTTACAATTATAGTAAAAAAGTTAATTGAACAATAAAATATATTAAATAAAAGTTATTATAAGTTACAAATAAACCTGTAATGTTATTGCGTCGGATTGCCCAGGTTTCAACTTTCTTTGATATCGACGCCGATACCGAATCTAAAAATAATAATAAATAATAATAACTTATGTATTACTATAAATACTAGGTTGATATGTTCCGTGTGTGATTTAATTCAAATAAGCTACCTGCTCTATTAAGTCCACGTCATCTCTGAATTCGACGGCTCCAGTAGGAGCTTTTGTTGGTATTTGTATAGTTTCTACAATTTTTGGAGGAAGGTCACTATATAACACAAAACAATTAATTAAATTAAAATTGTTTTACTGAAGATCTTTTTTAAGCAAGCGAGCGAGCTGACGGGTTAATCGATGGTAAGTGACTAACGTCGCCCATGAACAGTTATAACTTCACAGACATGCGCTCCTGCCCTTTGAGTGTCCCTCTCAGAGCTAATTGGGTTGGGGCTCGATAACCTAACTCACTCGGTGAAAAACAACGAAGGAATAGCTTAAATCTGTTTTTTTAGCCGAGGAGCTAGCTATTCCGTCGTTGAAAGTTTTTTCCTACAACAGATCAAAATCATTATATAATTCAAACCTCACAAACAGCAAAGCGCCACCACTTTCATCCCATGCCCAATGTCCATCTTCGTATAATCCTCCGAAACCTCCTTCATCATCATCATCAGCCATGATTGCATTAGTTGATAAAAATAAATTGACACAAAACTAGTAAAGTATATTTAAAATAAAATTATGTTATGAATGTCCATCCATGCATAAGAGCACTTTGACATTAAATGTCATAATTTATGTCATTGTGATTGTATACTGCCATGGTCAAAGAGTACAAACATTTGGTCATGGTCATAATGCCTACTGTAAATTAACCTCTTTTTTCCCATTGTCAATTTAATAAACGTCAATTTTATAAACGCATACGAGTACAATACGTAACATCTAAAATCTTACGTCTAACCAAAGCATCGCTTAGTGGTCAAATCAAATAGCGCGCATTTTGCAGCCTTCCTGTAACACATTTCCGTTCCTTTTCAGGAAATCACTTCCACGGGTTGCAGGAAAGCGAATTGATATACCCATCAATAAAAAAGGACTAATGATCTCAGAGCAATGAGTACAGATAAAAGAAGTAATGCCAAAATCTTAATATAGCTTAATAAGCCGACTACGTTATTTATGACCTCCATTAAAACTTCACCCTATAAACGCATAGTGCATATTTTACTTTACCCTTTTAGCTTTAACTTTATATCTTGTTTTTTGTTTTGCACTGTGTATGTACTAAGTTCTAAAAAGAACAAATTCTACAAAAAATAGTTATTAGTTCTAATCAATAAATATTTGTGAGATTTTCTGACACACAGAGGGGGTAAAAGTGGAGTGACTTGTCAAAGAACACTTGGCTACAACTTGGGAAAACTCTAGTTCCTACAGTTGTACATAGAACACTAATACGAGTATAGGTATCAATAGGTCATGTACACTGAGTAGTACAATATAATATTATATACGAGTATATACGCACGGGTATTATACGGCTCAAGAAGTATAGTATAACATTGCGTCGCTAAACTTTACTCTGGAAGGTAAATAAAGTTGGGAAACACTTTGACAAGCGCTTTGCACACAACGCGAACCGAAACTAGACTTAACAACTACTTTTCATTAATATAAACATGTTCATTAATAGAACGGCCTAGCATTTATAACAGCCAGGCTAATTTCTATTCCTAAAAATATCTCCTATGGGATAGCTAACATAACTTAAACCACGCTATCGAAGTAAGAAATGTTTATAAAAGTATTATATACTTCCTTTAGGTATACAGGCTGTTACAAAAAAGTGTGATCATATTTAAGTACCGTCTAGTGGACCCCGTAGGTATATAACGTAATATGCAAACAATTTTAGGAAAATGTGCTTAAGAAAATATATTTAAAGTGTATTTGACTGATAAAGTTAATATTTTGTAACTTACATAAATAAAACTGTAGTAACTGTGTTCACGGAACACCTCTTTAACAAAAAATAAAATAATTGAAATTGATCTTAATATTCATTACGTGTTATTTCGGAATGTCGATACTCAGGTAAGTATTTTCCAAAGAAAAATTCTAAATATATTTTTTTCCAAGTCTTCTTTTAAATATATTATACTTGACATATGTAGCTAACGACGAATAACAAGAATTATTAAGTTTCCTTAAGAATGAATAGCTACTTCGTGATTTTATTATATAATGTGTAAGGTACTTAAAACTGTTTACGTAACATTTTCTACTATCTCCAAAATTCATGACTGCCTAACTTATGATCTCCAATATTTCAAATTTTTATCGGTGATTATAATTCATGGACAGCTATAACTTGCAAATCGGAATCTCCATCGAGCGTGTTTGTAAGTTTCCCAGAATTTACGATGTCATTGGTGAGTTTGCTCTCAACGCCACTGAATATAAAGTTATGTTAATGTTAGTAGTGCATCCAACTACGAACCTTAAAACTTATAAAATGTTCTAAGTTATCTCCAATTCGGGATAAAAGCTATGGTACGAAGGTATATAGAAACGGCGATAGTGCACTTGTGTTTTAAGCTGTATGTGAATGTGAATATTGAAACTAAATTGTCGATACCGTTTGAAAATAGCAGCAAACAAAAAGTGTAATAATTAATTCGATTTTACTCTTACACGATATACGCTAAAGCTTGTCATCATCACATCAACAGCCTTTAATAGTCCACTGCTGGACATAGGCCTCTCCTTAGAAAGGAGGTTTGCGGAGGAAAGCTTGTACGCACGCATCATTCAGAAGTCATTGACTATCTATCTTACTTACCAGGCAGTTTAAAAAAAAATAAAGTAAATTAAAAATATAAATAATTGCGAGCATAACTTTAAGTATTAAAAAGCCCTAAAGTTACTCTGAAACACCGATAAAATTTTAAAAACATATTTGAAAAATCTGTTATGCAGTTTGTGTCAGTGTTTTTTTTTATGTAAGAAGGGGCAGACGAACAGACGGGTCACCTGATGGGAAGTGACCATCGCCGCCCATGAACGTCTGCAACTCAGGATTCACAAAGAAGTTGCAAAATACCGCAGACGATAACCCGTTCCACAGATTGGTTGTGGGAGGTAAATAGTGTCTCAAAAAGCGCACAGTAGTGGAGCGCCGACTATCCAGGTGACAGGGAAAAAAATTTGCCACCGGTATTAGTCTGAACAATTCCTCGGAGCACTCTCCATGATATATGCGATAGAGAATGCAGAGTGAAGCCACATCTCTACGTAACGCCAAGGGATCAGAGATGTTTCGCTCGACGATTCGAGTCGCTCTTCGTTGGATGTCCAGAGGGAGAAGCTGGTACTCTGGTGCCCCTGCATAGAGATGAGAATAGTATTCCATTTGCGGCCGAACTTGCGCTTTATAGAGCTGAAGGCGGTGGCCTTACCATTACCATTTGACCTTACCATCTTAATCACCGAAACTGGCCTTCGCACATTCAGTGTCCGCGAAAGGTGACGGTTGGACGGGGGTGGGGGTATCCTAAAAAATCATGTTACCCATATTTAGTAGATACGTATACATATGCAAAACACATTTACAAAATAAATAAGTAGGCATTAATCATGTAACCCTTTCTTCAATACCCGAGCGAATAAAACAGTATTTCATACATTTTTTACATGAATAAGTTGTAAATTTTGAGCATGTATGTCACTTGTGTTAATTCATTGAATTCGCTGTCACACACGATCGCACATAAGGCAGCGATGCCCTGCTTTGATCGTGTTCGCTCTGCCATGTGATCAAATGAGTATCTACTTAGTTTAGCAGCCGGCTGGAGATTAACGCGGTTACTAGGAGGGAATCTGGAAAACATTCTAAAGTAACCTCTATTCACTTGTATGGGCTTTTCAACAAGGGAATGAGATATAATAATAATAATAATATTTATTAACGTCAAATGAGGTACAAATTTTTTAATATAACAGGATTTTCTTAACTTAATTACACTGTATAGTCAGGCTCTGGTTCCCAAGGTAAGATTAAACTTGTGTTGTGGGTACCAGTCCCTCTTTCATCCAAAGCTAATAGTCATGAAGTATTTTCTATATTATAAAACATTTTCCGATATTCTAGCTTGTGAGCATGCATGCATGTGTGAATGAGTTATTATAGATTAGATATATAATGTTGTAGACGCCAATGACCTAATTATGATATTTTTGATCTCGCCAAATACATTTGTTACAAACATTTTTATATACATTTGATACAGTGATGTGCTACTAAAATCCTAGCATATTTTGCTAGCAGAAAGAATTCAGTGATTTAGCTCCAACGTCCTATAAAATACTGTCACTCGTGCGTATGAATCGCTGTAGACTGTTTCGTGCTCGTTATATTATTCACCAATCCATGGATTGCAGGCAATGAGACATCACACGTTACAAGACGTGCTAGAAATACTTCTTTTTTTTTCTTGGAATCGGAAATTATAAGAAGTATATTTACTGGTATTTTTTCTCATAATCTCTACTCAAGGTGTATTTGAAAACATAATTGTATTCTTGTGAAACGTTCCTATTTTCTTTGTTACGTATCGTGGAAGAGAAAAGCATTCACATATTCATGTCGGATGTCGCATCATGAACTGTACTTAAATTTCAGTCACAACACAGCGCACAAACACACAAACCGGGCATATTTCTAACCCAGTGAACATTCAGCTGTAAACAGTTAACTGAACAGCAATTTAACATACATGTGTTAAGAGTAAGACCAGTGAGGTCAGCATCACTGGTCATAGTCGTTGTTTGAAATTTGTACTTTATTCAAGTCCGTGTAGTGACGGATTTCTTAAGAATACAGAGTGCCACCCCTATTCATCCCGTGGGTGTCGTAAGAGCCGACTAAGGGTGTAAACGTTAACTACGCAGGACAACAACACTGTAAAGAGAAAAAAATGAAACAAACCCTATACCAACCCGTCTAGCCAGCGTGGTATAGTAGGCCAAAACCTCCTTTCTAAGGAGAGGCCTATGTCCAGTAGTAGACTAGTAAAGCCTGTTAATGACTTTATTCATGTAATGGTGTGATACGGGATCACAGTATTTAATTACTTGTCCAATACAAACGCTCAGTATTTTTTTTAAAAACAAACGTACTACAGACTAGCATTTTAAATAACATTAAAAATATGTGTGTGACATGCAATCATAAAAGAACACTTACTCGAGTTAACAAAAACAACTTCCTTAACCAAAACATTTAACAAGTTACAGTTTTACCAACATCTCAAAAACTTCCTACGTTATCTTCAAATCATTTCCTTAGTTAAAGTGCTAGACTTTACTTTAAGACTAGGAAATGATTTGATCTTAGTTCAGTTGTCAGTTCACATAAGACTTGGTCTTAGTTCAGTTCAGTTTTTAGTTACGGGGTAAATGTTATCAACTGAAACCACTCATTTATTAACCATTAACATCCACAATTTGGCTGGAAGTGATTGTGTAAATCTGCCTATTATATACCGTTACCGATACCGTTATTGACAAGCTAATCTATCTAACCATTAATGAATCCCTTAAATAATACTAAAATATACCATCACTACATCTAAACAGAATGAAAATTTACGTTATATTTTAACCAAATATGCTTC